AAAATAATAAAATAAAATAAATTAAAAAAAATTTATATTAATCAGATTATGTAGGGTTAAAATGTCTTTAATATAGAAAAAAAATCTGTTATATATGCCTCCCAACTCTCTCTAGAGACTAAAACAAGATATTCTTAAATTATCATAGGAGTTAGTATATATAAAGTGCATAGAACACTATCAGACACATAATAAGAGTATATGTCAGTTAATAGTAATATTATAATCTCTGTTTAGAAGTTTTGCTAGTAAGGAATAAGAGAACAAGACAAGTTTAGAAGTAATGTTACTATTGAAGATTATCAGAAGCTCTGGTAGCCTAGTGGTAGGGAGTTGCATTGCAAACTCAAAGGCAGGCAGTTCTCATCAGCTGCTCTGTGGGAGAAAGATTGGCAGTATCCTCCCGTGTGATTTACAGCCTCTGAAAACCCTCTGGAAGGTCAGCCAGAGAATGTTTTGGCTTGATGGCGTATAACAGCAGCAGCATTTAAAATTTTAAATATTAAATATATTTTTCAGAAAGAATTTTAGGAGAGATTGTATCTATATCTGGACATTACATCCTATTCTACATTAACTAAATATAATTGATTACTAAAATGTTGAAGTGAGGAAAAATATGTGGAGTATATATTTCTCAGACTTATTTTGAAGCAAAGGACATAAAGAGATCAAGATTCAACAGTTGACTTTAAATTATTTCAAATAAGTGATTCCTTGAGAACCATAACGCATTGTTCTTTTTGTTTAGATTATGCTTTGGTTATAACTAATAGAATGTTTAAAATACTTTACATTAAACTCATTAAATCATAAGATTGTCCTGTTTTGTTTCTTTAGTGACATAGAAAAATCTACTATTCTCCCAGTAGTCAAGCCAAGTGTAACTGAGCAATCGGAAACTAATTGTGATGTTGGTGAAGTCCTTGATGCCAATGCTCCAACTGAACAACCTTCCTTTGTCAGTCCACCTGAAAGGTGAGTGCAAACAATTACTCTTCCTGTGTATAATTCTGTAATAACTGCAGTTTCACATTTAAACGGACGCTGGTCCATGCTTAATTGTAATTTAAGATTTAGAGATTGCAAATTCATTTACATTTTTCTAATTGCAATATATATTGTATGAACTTGTTATCTAGCTGAAATTTGTGTATCTTTTGTTGATTTCATATAGCCTTGTTGGCCAGCATATAGAAAATGTGTCATCTTCACATAGCAAAGGAAAGATAACAAAATCGGAGTTTGAGTCAAAAGTTTCAGCAAGTGAACAGGTTGATGGTGATCCAAAATCTGCATTGAATGCTTCAGATAAGTTAACAAATGAGGTAGGTATATACTAGTACCATCTCCTACTATCTTAAGTGATATACTTTATTTGCAGGAGGAGGATGAGCAATCTCCTCCTTTTCAATTAGCTGCCTCTGAAAACCTGCCAGAGGGTCAACTATCTATCGGTTCCAACTCTTTGGTACACACAGCAATATGCTTTATTTAGTAATTTGATAATACTTTGCTAGACATAGTTATTGTACGATCAGGATGATTAATTTATGCTATTTGTGAAACAGACATGAAGTGTGCTTTCTGAGAGCAAATGTCACTTTAGGGTACAGTTGCCAGTATACTATATAGAGTGAGTAGATTTTGGTACAGAGTTCATCATTTAAACAATTTCTTAAGAGAACTGTAGAGAATAAGCTATACCTGTTAAGTAGTTATCTTCAGAATATAACTTAATTCTGGTGGTCTGATCTTAAGGTGCTGTGCTGCCAACCTAGAGGCACACAGTTTGAATTTTCCAGCTGCTCCACAGAAGTAAAACAAGCATTCTCCTCCTTTGCAACTTGCTGCCTCTGAGAACTTGCTGGAGGGCGACTTTTAGTTGGATCAGATCTGACAGTGCACAGCAACAGTTATGTAAGATGGAATTTAGAATCTCTCAGTAGAATAATTTACGTTCTCATGGCCTTCACTGTGTATCTTTTCTGCTACTTAGGTTCAGATAGCCAACCTGCCAATCTTCAGGTTTATATTCCAGCACAAACTGTTTGTGCCACTTAGGGAGCTGCTGTGTCCGCATAAGTTTCTAAATCTCTTCTGCAAAACTGGTGGAACATAAACTTGGAAACAGTTGATACTTCACGTATGCACAGTCCTTGCTTTTTCATCAGACACCCTTACTATAGAAGGGAGGAGAAAATCCTCACTCTTTAGGGCTTCATGCTTAAACACTTCTGGTTACTAATCACAGCCTCTCCTTTTGAGGTCTAGTTATGCACTTATCTAGTGGCTTAGTTGTAAGGAATTGCACTGCCAAACCATAATCACACATTTCAAATCTGCCAGATGCTCCATGAGAAAAAGATGGGCAGTTTCCTCCATGTATTTTCCTGCACATGTGTTCATTCTGGGTTGGGAGTTGATTCTATGGCAACTAACAATAATAGCATTAAAAATTTTAAAGCTGTTTTAAATAGGTCATTTTATCTCTGTTGAAGCTATAAATGTGGAATTATAAATAAAAAGGAAATATTTTTAAAAAGAAATGATTATTAATAAATAACTTCTAAATAAATTAATATTCCAGGGAAAAAAATAGAATTAATGTCAGCCAAAAGAACAAACAAATCTGTCTTGGACAAAGTGCAACTGTGATGCTCTTTGGAGGCAAAGATGGGGAAACTTCATTTCATATACTTTGGGCATGTTGACTGAAGGTGCCAGGCTTTGGAAAACGAGATCTGGCAGGGAAAAGTAGGGTCATGGGAGAGATTGTGAGGATGGTGCAGGATTGGGTGAGTTTCCAGTCTGTTCAGAGTTGTTACAGTGGCTTCAGTGACACTAACAAAAAATTTCATGACTTACATAAAACGTTATAAGAAATAACCCAGAAGTTGTATGTAGTATCTAGGTTATGATCATACCCAGTTGAATTTTTGTATGTGAAAGAGAGCTTCTTCTCTGGTAAGCAGATTTTTGTGCTTTTGCTTTTATCTCAAAATCTGCAGCTTACTGATTTCCACATGTTTAGGTGGTACTTTAGAAATTATTGGTTAGTTTTCTTACTTGTTGTTATAAAAGGTGATACTGATTGTTTGCCTTAGCCTCACAGATTGATTGTCTGCTAATGCTCTTAGAGTATTTAGACTAAATATCTCAGCTTTTTATAACTGTGTATTCTTACTTTCTGTTATTTATGCTGGATTTTTATCTAATATTACTAGTACTAATGCTTCAGCTATATTTTTCTGTTATGTATTTTCAAAATAACTATATGAACTACCTGGGATATTTAGTTTTGAAACATTCCTACATGGAAGTTGTTTGGAGACCAAGCTGCTAAGTCTAAAGGCAGGCTCTGCTTCCTTTTAAGAAAAAAAGTTAACAGTCTCACTCATTGCCATTGAGTTAGAGCCAATTCCTACTGGACCCTCCAGTTGATTTTCTGGACATTCTACATGCATAGAAGGGGATTGCCCATCTTTTTCCTGGTGGAGCATTTAGTGGATTACAACTGTAGTGCCACTGACTAGTATTGTTAATTATTTTTGTTAATAATACCCTGATCTAAAAATTACACGTAAGACTTAGGCTAATTAGATTTTTATAGTTCTCACAACATTGTTAATAAGTACATCATATGTGACTCTAAGAATACAGAAATTACTATGATGCACATCTGTTTAAGGAAACAGAAATGCTTATTACATTACTCAGTTTAAGGAAAAAGAAATATATATTTTGTCTCCTTAGATATAATCACAAATATATTCTGGATCTGGTGGTATTTTTCATTTTAAAGCATTTTTTTTAAATTTAAAAAATTTACATAGCTCCAGAGAACATAAACTTTTGCTTGGAATAATTTGAAATGGGGGAAAAAAATTAAGATAAATGCTCTCTCTTTTACTCAATATTTTTCTTTTTTAGTCTTATCCATCTCTCCCCTGCCCAATTACTTTGATTTATCGAGCTTCAGTTATTAAGTATTTAGTTTGCTGATTTTTACGTTATAAACAATGCTTTTTACAAGTTGAGATACACAGGCTTTCATATATTTTCTTAAGTTCATGTATGCATTTTTACTGCTATATATACACATA